TACATAGGATAAATTCAGCAAATGGTCGTTAAATCAAACTAGTCATTACACGTCAGTGACCTTAATCCAAGTCCATCGCAGCACTGTTCAGCTCATTTCTTCAGCACCGTTATGCTCGTTGCTGTTTTGTTACCGTGCTTCGTCAAGCGCGCTGTCTTATGTCTACCACGGAAGCTGTGGCTGACAAATGTTTCACCACAGAGACACAAATGCGTGACGTCTGATAGGATACACATTCACACATATACACGCGTATATTTGGCCATTTAGCCAGCCAGGCGAACTGTATAATGTGCAGTGTCACGCACCTCGGTCCCACGGCTCCGGTAGTACTGGCCCGGGCGGTGGCCCTAAACGCTCCGACCTCGGCTGGGCGGCCAGTGGCAGAAGGCCGATCGTATATAAACCACTGCAGAGTCGGCACCAGGCACAGTTCTCTCTGCTGACGCACTCACAGCAAACAACGCAACAACCATGAACAAGGTGAGAACGGACGGTGCACTGCAGGATGGAACGTATTGCCTGCATTTGTATGTTTTTTTGTTATCTGCCAATTGTATCTTATTCAGTAAAGCCAGGCTTTCTAGAAATTAAGTATATTTTCTTAAACCTTCATTTCGTAATAAATTATAAGAACGATGAACGTTTGAATATATTTTAAACGTTTTCGTTTCGTCTCGCAGTTCTTCGCCGTGCTCAGCCTGGCCGTGGTGGCCGCCGTGGCCGCGTCCGACGACCTGGACCAGAGCGAGTCGGTGGCCGTGGCCACCACCTACGGCTCCGGCTACGGCTACGCCGCCCCCGCCGTCTACGGCGCCGGCTACGCCGCCCCAGCCTCTTACGGATACGGCTACACCGCTCCGGTCGTCAAGAGCTACGGCTATGCCGCCGCTCCCGTCGTCAAGAGCTACGGCTATGCCGCCGCTCCCGTCGTCAAGAGCTACGGCTACGCCGCTCCCTACACCGGCTACAAGTCAACGCTCTACTCCGGCTACGGCAGCCCCGCCTACAGCAGCTATGGCTACGGCTACGCGGCACCCGCTGCCTACGGCTACGGCCGTGCTGCCTACGGCTACGGCGCCCGCCCCTCCCTCTACTCTGGCTACGCGGGCTTGACTGGAGCCTACGGCCTGTACTAGACTTAATCAAAGTCTGCTGGGAGCATCGACCGTGGAGCTTGTTCTTGTGTGTTGTGTTTGCTGATGAACTTCGATCTGGATTAGCGAGATGCCAGTCTCGAGTTATCCGATATAATACATCTATATGTCATCAAGCATGAATTTGACCTGACAGATTTAAACAGAGAATGGTCTTATCACTTCGATCAAAGGCCAAAGCCTTATCGATTTTCAACTCCTTCTGCATTCCTGCACCTCTGCGGTCTCCCAGTCAAGTGAAACTTAGAATAAGGTTACTTTTCATTCAGTTCTCCCTCAAAGAGACCATGATTGCCCTACTACTAGAGAGCTCCTTTTCCTCCCTGACTAGGCTTACGGATATTGTGAGAGCCTTTAGGTAAGTACTTACATACCCCTCTCCTGGTGGCGCAACTGGAGAAACATCCAGGGGCCGGGCGGCACTAGGGATCGAACCCGGGTTCTCTCGAGTCCCGAGCGAACTCCCAACTAACTGCACCACACATCACCAGGATCTTTTTCGGAGCAAGGATCACCGATCAAGTATACGAATTGTTCTGCCCAGTTAACACTGTGCTATCCGGAAGTTTTCTTTTGCATTTTCACATCCAATCTTTTGCATTTTCTTTCTTTTGCATTTACACAACAATGCTTATTTCAATGTAAACGATTCATTGCTTGGATTGCAACACCTCTAGCGCTTGTACAAAATGAGAAATATTGTAGTCATCCGTATTTTTAGACATTTGTCAAGTCTCTTTCAAAACTCTTATGTATACAAAGCCGCTGGTTTTAGGTCCTATGTAATGCAACCAAAATAATATTGGAAGTAAGCACAGGCACGGCCAGAATGGTTCAATCAGTCAGTGCCGCCAATAAGGGGAAATCTTATAATGAGCAGCCCGGCCTGGCCCTGGCCCGGCCCATGACACTTTTGATAGGATTGTATCTAAGTAGCCGCTCTACAGTTCGATAAGCATGAAGTAGTCTGCTGCATAGAATAGCCCCATCCTTTCAAGCATGAATGTAATTTTGCTCCTAGTATGGGTGATCACCACGGCAGGTGGCACGAGAAACGGCAGTTATATAAATTATGTTCCTCTTTTAATAACGTCGATGCACAGATTGCAGTGAAACTTGGATATCTACCTGGCAATGCACTTCCATTTGCCAAATGCCATGGTTGGGGCACTGGCAAATGTGCACACTATAAGCTGGCCTTGGACGCTTTTATACTTCAATAATAACTAGGCTGACTGTGCTCAAAGACCGTTGCCACCGGAGAAAAGGACAGCCTTTACAAGAAAGTTAAAGTTCCACTTTGCTGGCGTGCAATCATTGCAATTTTAATCGTACAATTTTACGTGCAAGGGCCGCTTCTGCATATAAAAAATGGTTGGGCCGATTTATCCCAAAGCTGGTGCGGCGCTGATAACCGGTGGCCCGCGAAATATTGGGTCTAAGTTTGCGCAGAACTTAATGCGGAGGAGGTGAGGGGAGTCTTGCATTCTTTCAGAATCTACGCAATATTCACGTTCGCAAGGTTTCAAGAGACCGGAAAGTGTCTTTTTGGAATGTATGAATAATTATCCGCAAGACATTGAGCTCAAAATCATACCTTGGCGGTTGGCCGATCTTTCCACTGACAGTATGGTATCGGAAGCGCGCACCTTCTGGCTCAGCCAAGCGGCAGAATCGTTCGAATGAACAATATGAAACGATGAGAAGTGGCTTGCATTATGCGAACGAAAGCACCCATCAGAAAAGATGCAGCCCTAGTTACCGACGAATCCACAGAAGCTAATCCCATGCAAGAAGGTGCACGGAGCGAAAGTCATGACTGAGCTTGCCGCGCGTAGGAGGGCACTTCGAGTACCTCCTGTAGACAAACGAGGTGTCACAACTGACTTTCCTATGTGAAGTCAAAGGTCCAAGATTTGTCATCTAACGGTGTGCTGCTTATGTGTTGAAACATATATTATGTGCCTCCAGCGGCCAGCTGGGCTTACTTTGTATCATTTGCTAATGAACACCCTGTAATTAGTTGTTAACGATTAAGATGAAGAATTGAAGTCCTTTAATGGGATCCTCCCACCTTAAAAAGTTAATTATTTGGCATAACAGTGTTGTCGCTCGGTTCAGAAAGAGCAAAAACGAATATCTAAGTACCAAATTTCACCGAAAAATATTAACCGGTTTTCAACATATTACACTTAAACTTTTGTTCATTTTTTAGGACCTCTAGGTCCTAGGAACAGCGGATCCGCTGTTCCTATGACGCCATTTTGAAGCAATAATTTGGCATCCTAAAAGTGCGGCAGATGTTGCGCGCAAAGCAGCATATGCCACCACGTTTTACCAAAGGGTTTAGTATATGATTTAAAAATCGTTAGCCCTTTGTGCTGACGTCACAAATTCTAAGGGAGCATTCAAATGCATCAATCCCTTAGAATCCGAAAACTGCAGATGTTGAAATTAAATATCCCGAAATTAAAGTAGTTCTCGATGTTGTGAGTGTCCAACCCGGTAATTGCAAGCCAGGGACCCCTATTTGGCTATCTCAAGTCAAAACTAATGTGAAGGTGAGATGGTCACTTTAACCCGCGCCGGGCCGGCGCGGGTTAAAGTTAACAGGTGTGTTTGAACACCCCCCCCCCCCCTGCGGTTTTTCGCAGATATCTCAAAAACGGCGGCGTAGAGCGCCGCTGTTTTTGGCACACCTGTTTGTGCATCTTTTTCGCACATGTTGTGAAAATTTCAGACCCAGTTCACCTTAGGTCAGGTTACCAGGTCACGCCAAGTGACCTCACCTCAGAAAAAATAAGAATGCTCGTCATAGCTACACCGATTGATCGATTGCCTTGAAACTTTCAACGATTGATTAGAACGACATCTATAAAATGTATATCTCGGAATTTTGATATCGGTGACCTAAGGTCAGGTCAATTTTGCGGCCTCTCCATTATAAGTCAATGGGAGAAAATTGAAAAGCGGCTGGTTTGCACGAACGCTATTCTAGACACTCTCAAACATCGAGATGTAGGTAAAATTGACACACTGAACCGGAAAATGGCAACTGTGACCCCTCGTTATGTCCCCGAGGTCATCTTAGGTCACGAACAGAATCTAGCAGTTTTTCGCTAATAACTTCTGATAGAGACGTGCTAGAGCGCTGAGGACGCCTTAGATGTGTTGGGCTCGACGTTGCGGATCGACTGATATGCAACATGACCTTTTCCGGTCAGGTCATGACCTTGACCTGAGGTCAAATTTTCAAGTTGACCTTTCAAGGTCAAATTATAGTTCATCCGAGGCGTCTCGACGAGAGGAACACGATGGTGGCAAAAGTAATGTCATATCTCTTTTGAGTAAAAATTATTGCCGAAAAAAACGTTTTTCATAAAACGGCTATTTTTGAAGTTTTTGCCCTCTGGAGGCTAAACTGTTGACCTGAGGTCAAATCTGAGAACATTACCCAGAAATGTCTGTAAAAGGGCTATCGAATGCGCTTTTCCGCGGCGCTGTAGCTCTATCGGTTCCCGAGATAGCCGTTGGCAGTTTCCAAAGTGTTGAAATAGTCAACATTTTACCTTTGGTGACCTCTGGTGACCTGACCTTTGACCTGACCCAAAAAATGAATGAAGTGTTTTCGTCCTTATTTTGGACGTTCTTTCGATTGCCGCTTACCGCGTGTCGCTACGTGACCCAGGAGCCGAGTTAGAAGGGGAGATTCCGCGCCTCGGCCCGGCGCGGAATCTCAGAGCACCGGCCCGGCGCGGGTTAGAATAACTATGGAAACGCTAGGCCACTGCAACCATTTGGGATTAGCATCCTTCTCTTCTCGTTGATGAGAAAACTGATGGGTACATGAATTGAGAAGTATATTGATTGAGATCGGATAACTCGAGATTAACATCTCGCTAATCCAGATCGAAGTTCATCAGCAAACACAACACACAAGAACAAGCTCCACGGTCAATGCTCCCAGCAGACTTTGATTGAGTCTAGTACAGGCCGTAGGCGCCAGTCAGGCCCGCGTAGCCAGAGTAGAGGGCGGGGCGGGCACCGTAGCCGTGGGCAGCACGGCCGTAGCCGTAGGCAGCGGGTGCCGCGTAGCCGTAGCCATAGCTGCTGTAGGCGGGGCTGCCGTAGCCAGAGTAGAGCGTTGACTTGTAGCCGGTGTAGGGAGCGGCGTAGCCGTAACTCTTGACGACGGGAGCGGCGGCGTAGCCGTAGCTCTTGACGACGGGAGCGGCGGCATAGCCGTAGCTCTTGACGACCGGAGCAGAGTAGCCGTAGCTCTTGACGACCGGAGCGGTGTAGCCGTATCCGTAAGAGGCTGGGGCGGCGTAGCCGGCGCCGTAGACGGCGGGTGCGGCGTAGCCGTAGCCGGAGCCGTAGGTGGTGGCCACGGCCACCGACTCGCTCTGATCCAGGTCGTCGGACGCGGCCACGGCGGCCACCACGGCCAGGCTGAGCACGGCGAAGAACTGCGAGACGAAACGAAAACGTTTAAACATCTCTTTTAACACTCACCTTTTGTGCATGTGTCGTGGGAAAGCAGTAAGTTCTCTTGTAAAAATTGAGCTGAAAAACTCCTTACAAGAGCTATATCTAATGCTCAAAATACAATTGTAACAGTTAGCAAATACAACAGCGGCGCATTCCCTCCTGCAGTGCACCATCCGTTCTCACCTTGTTCATGGTTGTTGCGTTGTTTGCTGTGAGTGCGTCAGCAGAGAGAACTGTGCCTGGTGCCGACTGTGCAGTGGTTTATATACGATCGGCCTTCTGCCACCGGCCGCCCAGCCGAGGTCGGAGCGTTTAGGGCCACCGCCCGGGCCAGTACTACCGGAGCCGTGGGACCGAGTGCGTGACACTGCACATTACACTGGCTGCCTGGCTGGTAAATGGACAAATATACGCGTGTATGTGTGAATGTGTCTGCGGTTAGACAACTGTTTGTGTGGTGGCGTGTTTGTCGGATACGACTTCCGTGATTGACAGACAATTTAAAGTTTAATATAGGTACTCACTTGTGTGTGATGTGCCCGAAACCAGGAGTACAAATAAAAACGGATGCTGAAGCTGCAACTTTTTCGTAGGTAAACTGGTGGTGCAATATGCTCCATCAGCAGCAGAGTGACAGAAACGCATCGTTACGTTCCGATCTTTAGCCAAGCTGGCTCGACCCCCATCGCCTGCACCTGAGCATGCAGTTTCTTACGACAACTATATTTACTTTTATATCCTTTTGGTTATGTTTCAGTCACGGCTTGATACAGATAGTTTCGTTCCTTATTTGGGTTTGTAACCTAGTGGGGCATTCGGTGGTTGTCACGAGATGATAAAAAACGGGACAATTTTCTTAGTTTCTGTGGTCCCAATCGGATTGTTTCGCAATGATTTGATACGAATGCTTCGAATAACTAATTTTATATTGTTTTGTAGGCTAGAATATAAACTATGCTAATTTTATTTTAGATATATTTATACCAGTAGAGTCATTGTGGTCATTTCAATCCCCAATACCGGCTGATTGGACACAGTGGTGCTCCAGTGAGTGTCTCTGATGGCCTGCTGTGATCCATCCCCGCCACCGGGCGAGGCCCGCCGTCCTGGCTCACCACTCGAACACCACCGATCGTCCGGAGAACCGTACGAGCACCCGGCCGCCGGCTGCCCCGGCCCTCCGGACGTGCCGTGTCCGCACGTGCCCGACACACGTGCCGCCACGGAGGCGCCCGTGCCGTGCACGTCCACGCTGCGGACGGCGCAGCAAATTGGCCTGCGCAGCCGACCGGCGCACCAGCTGGCCACGGATGGGGTGCTCGTGCGAACAAAGTACGAAACACTGCCCGACCACCTTCAAGGTGAGTATTATACAAAGTGCTGCTACGCAATACCATTCCAGTGAAGAGTCGTTTTTGTAATTACTTACTCTTCACCCGTGGATAGCTGTACGAATGGGACGGGAAATAACCAGGAGGTGGATTATTATCAGGACTTGATGAAACAGTATTCTCGCTACTGACGTGACCTTTACGCATAATTACAAATCCACTCAATGTTGAACTGGAAGCTGGATAGATAAGCTCTTTCACTTACGACCCTCTCTTCTTACAATAGCTTCATAAATCCCGTATACTCAATTGATTGAAGTAAACTGTGCGTCGTGATCACAATACGCGACCATTTCAGATCTGGCCGTCTCCGAGATTCTCTCTAGTGACCGTTTCCTGTCGACCGCTGCCGAGTCGTACACATTCAAACGGCGTGACCGGTGTCTGAACCCGGAGCCCGTCTACAGCCCGGCTCCTCCCAGCGGCTCAGTGGAGTACCTCGGCGAGGTGGAACAGCGTCTGAGGAACTGCTCCCTGCCCGCCTCCAAACCACGCTTCTCGGAGTACTCGGAGGCGTTCGCGCCACGCCGACACCTGAGTGCCCCCCTGACGGCCGTTCCTTACCGACCGTGCGCTCTTCGACCGGCCACGGACGTGCTTCCCCGACACGTGTTCACCGCCACCAGTGGTGTAGCCGGAGAGGTGAACCCTTACCTCTCCACCACGAGCAAAGACTTCCAGCCGGTGAGCGCGGCGGCGGCTCGGCGCTACCGGGACGCACCTTCAGGGGACACCTTCACTGGTGACCCAATAGTGCCAGAGGAGGCCGTACCCCAGCCGCACTGGCATCACTTCACCCCAACCGTCCCTCACACCGGTCTGAGTACGGAGATTCAACGGCGGTACCGACCCCCGCGACTCGACTGGTGCTCGAGACACAACTGGACAACGGAGCAGAGGGCGCCGCTGGTCGTTCCACCCACCACGCGACAACTCATGGGAGAGGCTCAGTTCGAGCGAGAGTCGGATAACTACGGCACGGGTCGACACAACAGTGTGGTGCTGAGCTGCGGAGGTCTGGTGGGCAGACAGAAACACAGGCGACATCTGTGCAACCTGAAACTGGAAGACCCTGCCGAGCAGGCAGTGCTCAACGGACGGTAGATGGCACCACTGAGACCTGACGCACAGGGGCTCAACACCGGGGTGGTCCGATGCGATTGGCGAAATGGGACACTAGACGAGAAAAATGAGGGGTGGCTGAGCTCAAGCTGTTAGCTGAGCATGCTTTGCTCGATATTGAAGCAGGCAATGCTCCGTGAAATTGCTCGGTCTGGTAATGCCGACTTCTAAAGTCAGTTTCAGCAATATCAAGAAACATGAAAATCGAAATCAACATGGATGATTTACAATTAAATATAAATCGACCACCAATTTCAGCTATCCGTTTTTCAGGCCCAGCCGCCAGCCATTCTCATCCTTTATAAAGATGCCTCGTGGGTAGATTGACTGCGAGGCAATCATCCAGACGAGGCATTTAATTCCTGGGTGACCGTTTAAACATTCGTAAGCACTAAGCAGGAGCATCCTTCAATCGATTAAGGCCATATTATTCGACTTTTTATTCATACCTTTAAAAAAAATAACGGGCGCAATAATTAACCCTATTCCTGGCGGGGGGGGGGCCTCAGGAGCCCCCCCCCTGAGGTTTTTTGGTTATATCTCCCAAACGCTTTGAGCTAGGAAGCTCAAATTTTCTGGCTTTTTCTAAAAGGCTTTTATGCAACATTTCTGAAAATTTTGAGTTGATCTGACCTCAGGTCAGGTCACCAGAGGCGGTTTGGTGACCCTACCTCAGAAAAGTTTGCAATCACGCCAGAGCTAGAGTTTTTGACCGATCAATTTCTTCTCTTCAGGCTTTAGTTACGGTAACAGTATGTGCAATTTGTATATCTCAGAATTTTCATATCTGTGACCTGAGGTCAGGCCAGACCAGGGGCGGATCCAGGAAAACTCCAAGGGGAGGGTCATGAATCGAAGTGGTGCCCCTACCTATACCCAAAATTAAAAACTCAACGGATTTCGTCCACTTCATTTTGGTGGTGCCCCCATTTTCAGTTTTTTATTTTTATTTTTTATTTTTAGTCAGTATCTTACCTCTTAGCCACAACCACATTTACCAATTGTAAGCAAGTATATATGAATGTGCTATGTGTATATATGTTGTGGACGCTGAGTAATGAGTACTTACCAGGAACGTTATCAGGTAAGCAAATCGTTGTCAGTCCGACGAACTTGACCCTGGCGTCTAAAGGGTCTGTCCCTGACACTTCAGGCTTGTCAGGGGCACCAAAGTCCTTCCAGGGACACCACAAACCTGTCAGGGGCACCTACGGCCTTGTAGGGGCGCCACAGGCCCGCCAGGGGCACCACAGGCCTGTCAGGAAGCAGGGGCACCACAGGTCTAGCAAGTATACACGACAGGCCTGTCAGGGGCACAACGGGCCTGTTGGGCCCATGAGCACCCCTAGGGGCAGGGGCACCACAGTCCTTCCAGGGGCACCGCAGGCCTGTGAGGGGCACCAGCGGCCTAGCAGGGGCACCAGTCAACACAGGCCTGCCAGGGGCACCACAGACCTGCCAGGGGCACCAGAGGCCTGCCAGGAGCACCACCGACCTCGCAGGGGTAACTTGGGCCTGTCAGGGCCCAGGGGCACCACGGGCCTGTCGAGAGGCACTTCAGGCTTTTCAGGGGCACCATAGTCCTCTCAGGGCGCAGGGGTAGCAGGGGCACCAGAGGCCTGCCAGGGGCACTACAGGCCTAGCAAGGGCACCACTGGTCGATCAGGGGCACCACGAGCCTGTCATAGCCAGGCATCTCAGGCTTGTCAAGGCCCAGGGGCACCACAGGTCTGTGAGGGGCACCAGCGACCTAGCAGGGGCACCAGTCAACACAGGTCTGCCAGGGGCGCCACAGACCTGCCAGGGGCACCACAGACCTGCCAGGGGCACCACAGACCTGCCAGGGGCACCAGAGGCCTGCCAGGGGCACCACCGGCCTCGCAGGGGCACCTTGGGCCTGTCAGGGGCACGACGGGCCTGCCGAGGGGCACTTCAGACTTTTCAGGGGCACCAGTCCTCTCCGGGCGCAGGGGCACCAGAGGCCTGCCAGGGGCACCAGCGGCCTAGCAAGGGCACCAGAGGCCTGCCAGGGGCACCACAGGCCTAACAAGGGCACCATGGGCCTGTCAGGGGCACCTCAGGTTTGTCAGGGCCCAGGGACACCACAGTCCTTCCAAGGGCACCGCAAGCCTGTCAGGGGCACCAGAGGCCTGCCAGGGGCACCACAGGCCTAGCAAGGGCACCTCTGGCCTGTCAGGGGCACCTCAGGCTTGTCAGGGCCCAGGGGCACCACAGTCCTTCCAGGGGCATTACAAGCCTGCCAGGGGCACCAGAGGCCTAGCAAGGGCACCACAGGCCTGCCATGGACACCACAGGCCTGCCAGGGGCACCACCGGCCTTGCAGGGGCGCCTCAGGCCTGTCAGGGGCACCACGTGCCTGCCGGGGACACTTCAGGCTTGTCAGGGGCGTTACAGTCCTGTCAGGGCCCAGGGGCACCAGGCCCGTGGTGTCCCTGCTAGGCCTGTGGTGCCCCTGGCGGTCCTGTGGTGCCCCTGTCAGGACTGTGATACCCCTGATAGGCCGGTGGTGCCCCTGGAAGGTCTTTGGGCCCCCGGGCCTCAAGGGGGGGGCCATGACCCATGTGACCCCCCCTTGGATCCGCCCCTGGGCCAGACTCGTGACCTTTACATTGCAAGCCTATGGGAAAATATTGAAACGCCTCCTGCTTCGTGTAAACGAGTCAAAACCACCCAGTTCTTTCAGTATTACGGAAGATTATCTCATCGGTGATGATCCTGGTGCCGCTAATTGACAGGGGCACCGGCAAAGGTCATCTGAGGTCATGTGACGTCATAAATCGTTTTTCTGTCAATAAATCACGACATGGTGGTGCTAAAGACTTGTAAGTGGTACCAAACTGCTCGCCTGGTCAAGGCGCGTCGTTTGGTATGCAGCATGACCATACCCCACAACCTCATTGATGAATGACCTGACCTTGACCTCAGGTCAAATTTTAAATTGACCTGTGAAGGTCATCACATACTTATTTCGCATCGCCTCGGCGAGAGCAACAAAAAATGTATTGGTTTTATGTCACTATGTTTCTTAGTTTAAAAGTTATATAGGTAACTAATTCCAAAACATTTTATCGTTGATGACCTCTGGTGACCTCAATATTGACATGACCTGAAAATGTTTTACGTAAAAGTTGTAGATCTTTAAACGACCTATCAAACGCCGTTCGCCGTTTGTCGCTGCGATGTGTAGTTTTTGAGATCTGAAGGGGGGGCCGAATCGGCCCCCCCCCCCGCCAGTTTCTTGTCCCGGCGGAGCCCGCCAGGAACAGGGTTAAGACACAATAAATATCGGATAACACTTTTGCCTGGATAAGAATGGACTGACACTACGTACCTATAGATAAAAGGTTACAGCTTGGAACGTAAGACTTACCGCCGAGCTTACTATTCAAACTTAAAAAGACGCTCGCTCATGAGAAACAACTGTGAGACGTTAATAAATACGTCGTCTACAATTTAATAATTATACATAGGTATTGTTGAAATGAGAAATGTCTTGCCTTGGATTCTAGTGAAGCTCTTTGGCTTGTTTGCAAATGTTTGCGTGATTCGTGCAGAGGTGGAGATCTCGGGGGGCGGGGGTCAGGACCCCCCTTGAAAACGAATTACTGCTCTGTAAGTCAGTGGTACTGCATCCAGCCCGCCTTCATGTGCCTGGCCTGGAACCCCCAACCCCCTGAAATTTTGACAAATCTCCACCGGATTCGTAGCAAAAAGTCAAATCGCTCTGAAGCAGTGTTCGCCACGGGCCGCAAAATCCCAGCCCAGCCCAGCCCAGGCCCATAGTTCACAGCCCAGCCCAGCCCGAGCCCATTCATGGTAAAAGCGTCAAGGCCCAACCCGGCCCAGCCCATCAAAAATGAATGGATTAAGAATTATTGACACCACACAGGGCATCCAAAGGTAGCAAAGAAACAATCTTTTTGCGAGCAGCATGCACAATGCACATTGGATGCGCGGCTTTGTTAACTAGTTTTTTAGTCTTGCACAGTAATAGGCTATGTAGTTAAAGTTTTAGCCTCAGTTGCGAATCCCTGACTCCACTTTACAGTTCCTGACCCAGCCCATCCACAGCCCATCGATCCTTCATATTTGAAGGCCCAGCCCAGCCCGTAGCCCAGCCCAGCCCATCATGGCCCATTGGGCTGGCCCGGCCCATGGCGAACACTGCTCTGAAGCCAGAAATAAATTACTACGGATGCCCAATTGCTGAGACACGTGGAGGTCGGTTGAGTGTAGACTCAAAGACCGGTGACCCATGAGCCGTGAGACCCGTGAAAATATTAGTTAGTGACTTCACTGGCAAATTCATTCTGGAACGCATACCTACGAGGGGCACACGCCTAGAAAGGTTTCTCGGTAGAGCTGGGGCCTGGGTCTCTGCATGGCTGCTCGGTCGGAGTTCACTGTTGTCCAATTTCCAAAAACTCATCGGATTTTGATTCCTTGCGCGTAAAGAATCCTTACGGAAAGGGGTCATTTGCCCCAAATCCCCCCTTCCCCATCCACCAGTAAGTGACTTATACCTACTATAATACGGATTACGGATCATAAGAAGAAGAGTTATGGATGCATTGCTTCTAATTGAAAATCTTAACACTACGCAAGTCGCAACACATACTTTTTTAAGTTTCTTTTTTTGATAAAAAAATATTTTTATTTCGGTTCCTTCCACTGTGTTTTCTAAATATTTGCCCAATTTAACGCTACGCAATACTTCTTTTCACTTCCAAACTTTGGAAGTGTTGCAAATAATGAGAGATGACGATGACTTGCTTTCTTGCCTCAGTTGATAACCTTAGCTTTACCTATGTGTTCCAAGAAGCTATCGGTAAGAAAGATATTCGCTCAATCGTCAGAGGCGGATCCAGCTCAGAGGTTTGGGGGGGGGGGGGGGCAAACCATAAAAATTTATCGATTCTTTCCATGCATCGTCCATAGGCGTAATGTTAAAATCATGCCGTTGGGGGGGCAAATGCCCATTTTGCCCCCCCCCCTGGATCCGCCACTGTCAATCGTGCATACTTCTTCATAGCTTAGAGCCATTTGGGTAGGCTATCACAAATAAGCATCATAGCATTCCGGCCTTTTCCGCCTCGGGCTGATATTGCCGCCGCTGCACCGCCTTGGCTGAGATTATCTCCGTGTTGCATTGCAGCGGCCGCCGGCGCCCGCCAATGCCGTCTCGTCTGTTCCCTTTCTAAAACCGTACTCGTAGTAGTGCTCATTCGGGACGTTACGCTACGGTCACTACAGTGTGTGAACTCGCCGACTACCCTGGCTAACTTCTCCCCTATCGGAAGTCGGAATCCTCCCGGACGGCTCCCCACCCCTCCCCAGAGATCCCTCACCGTATCACCGTATCAGCCGTTCTTCATAGCGTATGACCTTAGAGACCGTGCCGAATGATCGTAAGCGTCAGCTAGTACGGACTACGGGGGGGGGGGGGGAGGGAGAAGCGAGTTGTAACCTTGAGTAGGGGAGGGCCGTGGCGTGACATGTCATCGCTCTGTGAAAAACAAGCGGGTGCAATTGAATGACCCGTTCGCCAACCATTAAATTTCAGGTTTATAACCCACGTATCTCCTCCCTTCCTCGTCCTTCATACGTCCGCAGTTGTCTTCAAGTTCAGCCTTGGAGCAACAATGCCGAAAGATAGCTCACTAAATAGGTCACAATTGGAGCTACACCCTACATAACTGTTAACTAGGACGGGTCGTGGGCCGATTTTGGACCACCAGGTGCCAGGTGGTGGCCGGCGTGGCCGGACCACGTGGTCGCTGACCACGCGGCCGCATTCCATCGGAGACGGGCCCTCCGTTCGTCCGTGCTCGTTATTTGCTATGCCTCCAATGACGCTGAGTAGATCAGGCCATTGTCGGATCATTGAAAATACGGGAGAAGTTGAGCATGACATCTCGTACGAATCCAAAAATAGTCGACGGCCGCCAGCCGAGCGATTTCGCTCCCACGATCGAGGTCACGCCCGCAGTCAGCTGATAGTTCAAACGTTTGCCGCTCGCCGGCACGTGGCGCCACCTGACGACCGTCTGGGAGTGGTGACTAAGGAATGCATGCGCTACAAAAAGTAGATATTCATGTTTTGCGCTTTATATTACGAATACCTCGTCTGGGTACCATAATTACATCTAGATTAGGCTAAATCCGTATGCTACATCGAAATATGTATTCTAGATGAAATATTTCTAGCATAAAACATGACCTTGATGCGCGTATGAACTCTGGCGGCCGCGAGGCGCAGCTGTTTCCCGCCAAGTCACCCGCCATTAGTTGGTGATCTTGGCGTGGGGTGTGGGGCGCGCGGTTGCATTTGAATTTGAAAAAGGGGTGTAACCCGGCAAGCGCGTAGGTGTGTGTGCGACAAAGTGTTCTGAAAGCGTGTTGACGCTTGAAAATGCACCTGAAAGTCGCCGATAAGGATGGAGTGGGCGATTTACCCGGCAGCCACGAGAGCGAGATCGGGGTTACCGGAGACGTGGAAAGGTGGGTTTATTATTTTTATTTTGTATCCATACTCTTGCTAAAATGGCTTGATTGCTTCATGTGTGTAAATGGTCAATTCATTTTAGTGGAGTATTTGGAGCCTCAGGATACAAATAAGCATTTTTCAACTGTTCTTGGTTCGGAGCACGTGGTTATATTCGTCCGTTGCTGGGACTTTGCCTGATTAGGAACCGCATGCATCCTTGTTCCCAAATGTAATAATCCCTCCTGACATTGGAATTGTGGTAAAATTCTTTTTGCATGTATTTTGTCTTCCTTTTGTTTTGATTTTGGGCTCAGGGGCGTGGTGCTCCGGGCTTCATTTTCCCGCTCATTTTTGGCGTTGCACCGCTCACGCCGTTGAGAGGCTAGGTGTCTAGTGAATGAGGGGTATTTGAGAGCAACTCGTCTGCATCCCCGGTGTTGATGGTTGCAGTGCCAGGTTGCTGACAGCGGTATTGTTTTGACCCCGCCCACTGGCGTCACGTGCGAGAGGGTGCGGTCGGTCGGTGCCGGCAGAGCGTTCAGCTGTTCGGCCGGGGCTGATGTAACCGGCGCGCCATGCCCGCAATATGAAATGCATTCCAGAAGTGCTGGTGGCTCGCGCGAAAATCTTGCGAGTTTTGGGTGTGTGTAATTTGACTTGAGGGATTCTAATCAGACGATTCGGGTGCCTGACCTGCATAGTGCATAGTATTCGATTTGCTTTCCCATATGCCATTAAACGCCTCAATTTGATCCCCGAATTTTTTCATCATCTGTCATAGGTGTAGGATGTGTTCATTTTCCGGTCCCCTCTATTGATAATTTTGTTCTTTACGATGCTACTCCCGATCTATTAAACGGGGCGTTTAAAACCATCTGCTCACCTAACAATGTTACTGGCAAAGCTGCAGGTGATTTTAGCGTGACATTTTCCTACATTTTTTCACGAAAAAAGTCATTGATCTTGGAGGTTATTCTGTCAAAACTTATGATCATGCAGGGGAGGGAGATACGGCTGGATGTACATGTTTTTTTTTTCTTAAATCTATGGCACAGATTCAAGAGTTATTCTTGAATCTGTGCACAGTGATTGTACATAATTGTTATGTGCTTGTTCGCTAGGTATGTCAAAGTATCTCGGCAAGATACGGCTTAACTATGCCTATTCTTCTAAGTATAGGAACGTTTCCTATTTCGCAAAAGAAGGAAATTTATTGGAGCTTAGCTGTAACCGGACGTGGAGGGGTATTTTACCGATTGTTTTCACCTTCCGATTTCGAACCAGTTCTTGTGAGGGAAATTTGGTAATTGCTCTGAACACACCGAGACTAGATTTTTCTTTCTCCAGAACTCATTCTTGAAACGAAATATTATTTCGCTCGTCTCGTAATTGTAAGAAGGTTACTACTACGCTACCGGGAAAACATTTGCCTTGAAAACCGCTTGTGGGATCTCTTTATAAACGTAGTTGATCCATCATCTCCTTTTGGGTAAAGGTCAGCCACCTGTCCGCAGGCCGTTTCCGGTTCGCACGCCCGATGTGTATGGGATGGAAACAGGTGTGAAATGATCATTGGGATTGGGCACGTGGCACGTGCCGTTTAATTTTTAACGACGCGTTGGGTGTGAGGGTACTGAGTTCACCATAAGTTAAGTTCGTTAGTTTAGAGTAGCCAACTGGTCCTTTTAATACTGGCGCATCTTGCTCTACTGAAGAGTAAGCTCGTCCTTTTTTTAAATTAAGTCGTTCTCTGATCTTGGTCGTATTTATGTAATTTCGGTGGATGACAAAACTACGCAAAGTTGTGGTGCTCTAACTCTGGAAATATTGTGTCGCTTTCGTTAATGGATAATTAATTTTCTATGCCTACATTTTATTTACAGATTAATCAAAGAATACTTTTTGTATGCAGTTCTGTGCGACAGACATGGGCTCATGGCTTGCTGAGTTTGGGATTAAGATATAAACATGACCTTTGCTCACAACCGTGATCGTGCAGAGCCGTTTGCAGAGTTACCATTCATTCGTATGAATGAAGCCTAATGCGATTTTTTTTATCAGTTCATTCGTCAAGTGCTGCGCGCATGTTTCGTTTATCAAAGCGATTCAGGTCAAGTGATTGACAATTATTGTGTTTTGCACTCGCATACACCAATCAAGAAGCTGAAACGTCCTAGACACCTCGTAGCAATGGATCAGTTCCGTGCGAGCACACGCAGCTGTGACCTTGGATTTTGCCGTGCAAGCTATTTAGAGCTACTTGTTGCTTATCTTTTATTTTACGCAAGAATTCTTCCGTTTACGACCGTTGTAAATCATGGTTGTTCGCATGACCGTTATCCGGGGCAAGATTGCTGTCTATCAGTAAATATGTACCTACTAGCAGGAATTCTGCTAAGCATCCACTTTGCAAAATTTAATAACCTCGCCCTCGAATGGTGGTCGGCGCGAAGCTTTGGCTACGAACCGTCAATTGTCGAAGGAACCTGTCACCTGATCAAACACTTGTATGTTTATTGTCATGTGACCTGCACGCTTCTGCCTTGCCTCCATCTAACTGTCGCCGCGTTGTCTGTTTCGCAGATACCTGAGTTCGGGCACGGTGTGTGCGCAGCCTGCCTCTCTGGAGCAGGAGAAGCGCATTCGTCGCGAGGTGGCCAACAGCAACGAGCGACGACGCATGCAGAGCATCAACGCCGGCTTCCTGGCATTGCGAGCCATGCTGCCGCAGCGCGAGGGCGAGAAATTGAGCAAGGTGAGTCGCCGAACAACCTACTGCGTTTAGCTTGGCGGGCAGTGGGACGCGCGTAGGGCGATCTCGTGACCGGCACGCCGCGCCCCGGCGTCCCGCGGGCGAGGCGGGCGGCTGTAGCTGAGGTCGGCCGGCCGACCGCTCTCTCTCCCGCACCTGCCGGGGACGCGGGCTCGGCGCGGCCACCAGACGCCGCCGCCCGGTACCGGCGGGGCCGCCATGGGGTGGCGCGGCGGCTGGCGGCGGCGGGACGCCGGCCAAGGGCGGACGGTCGCCGCGGCGGCGGCGGCGGCGGCGGCGCCGGGCGCACGTGACGGACGCCTCGGTCAGCGGCCCGAGATCTGCGCATGCGCCGTGCGGCTGTTGACACAGCTGGCTGGCCGGGCGCGGCCGGTCGGGAGGGGGAGGGGAGGGGTGCCACGCCGGTCGGCGGCCGGCTGACGTCAGCTGCTGGAGGGAGGGGGAGGAGAGGGGAGAGGCCGCGGCCAACTGCGTCATGTCTGCCGGCACCGCCCGCCCGCGCTCCCTCTGACCCCTGCGACCCTCAGCTCGGCGCAGCGGCTCGGCGGAAGGGACGGTTTGACGTTGATTTCAGTAGTGGTTCGGGCGGCTGAATATCATAGTTTGACAGGTGATACGAAAATATTCAGAATAAACTTCAACAAATTCCTATCAGTTATCGTTATGATTTCTTTCAGTTATCGACCGTTATTGAGTTCATTTCTTTCACTTAGTAATCGAAAACGAAAAAAAAATATCAGTTGAACGATGAGCTTCCAACTGATTGTTTACCTTCGCATTCTTATTAGTGGGATAAGATGCCTTCGGTTTTCTCATTATTTATTCTTTCACGGGTGAAGTGAAGGACGTAAACGTAGTCGGTGCGCACTCTATTAATCCTTTATTCTTTAATGGGAAGCCGTGGTGACTGCTTTTTTGCGTAGCAAACGTGACCTAATGTTTTGCACCTGCTTGACAAGTGGTGAAGCAAAACATCCAAATTTATCAAAGGTCAACTCGCTCGAAGCACCATATTTAGTCCATGCGTTGCACTCAAGTGATCTTCATGCGCCCAGCGCCGGTGCCAAAATTGAAAATTGTAATAGGCTTCAGCCGACATACCTCACAGAAATTGGAGGGCTCCATCCACTTGGCCCGTCTCGCGCAAAGTCGTGATTCTGGCATATCTGTTTGGTATTTTCTGATTTGAAATACTTTGTGTGAATGGTGTTCCTGACATCCTATATGTGTTTGGTAGTTGAAATTTTTCGTCTCTATCCCACTGTCCCGTAAAAATATGGAAATTTAATGAAATCCCGTGGAGGACATACGATTTGCATCGTCTATATTCTGTGTAAAGACTTATTGTGAAGATGGCATTACTGCCGTGTCGCTCCCTGCAAACCATATTTTCTGCCACTGAATCGGGTGTCAAATAATTCATTCATTCGGGTTGTTTATTCAACCCCAGCAGCGCTAGCGTCATCCCATATGTATTTACGCACCGTTGTAAATGTCATTAATCGCGATTCGTCGCGGAACTACAGAGTTTCTACTTAAAACGTCATGACGTCTATCGTAGCAGCTTGACAGCTATCACGATAACCAAATTGCTGAACTTTGATGTCCAGTGTCGGCTACCCCAAACACTTGATCAAACTTCTCTAATCCATACCATGCCGGATAATGGTGATCGTTTTATCAAAAAGCTTCCGCGCGAAGGTTTGTCCCTTCATATATCACAGTGCGTGATCTCGTCAACTGATGTTTGATGGATTGCTCCTTCCCCCTGTTGCTCTTCAGCATCAAAAAACTATTTGCGGCAGCTGGTCGGTCGGCCGGGGGCGTCCCTGCCTTCCGGCGGTCGTCTCGGCTGGTCCCGGGTGAAATCCCAGTTTCTGAGCGACGCGGGCTCGTGTGAGACACATCACCCTGCGGTGTGATTCATGCCGGCCGAATGTCGGTCACCGGCGGCGCTGCTGCACGGTGCAGCGCACCCCGCCGGGGCGCCGGCTGACCGTCTCACATGCTGCCGTCCGCGCCCGCCACCCGGCCGGCCAAGGTCGGACAGTCAGCCGGCCGGCCGGCGGCGGCGGCGGCGGCGCCGCGGCGTGGCGCGGCGTGGCTGAATCACCGTCAGCTGGGCCGCCAGCTGGCCGCCGCCGCACCCCCGGCAGAGGCCACCGGCGCCGCCGGCGCGCGGGCGGCGTATTTACAAATTGCAACCGAGCTCCGCCGTAGGGTATTTTATTTCCGCCGTAGTGTATTTCAGTTGGGGTATTTTCTACCATACATCTGCCTGAGCTTGGGGTTATTACAATTTGTCGGCGACGTTAAAAAATGATGCACCTTTTTTCGCAGTATAGGTTATCGCATGTGCATATTTTTGTCTTTGGTTGCGCTTTTCCCTCGCCCGTATAGGGGGAGGCGTTGAGCGGACCCCATCGGTTTTTCGTGAGTAACTCGCGTAAAAACCGTCCGATCGCGACGAAACTTTCAATACCCCCGATTTTATCAATTTTACTCCTGCCCTGAAAATTTCATGACCCTGACCCAAATGACCTTTGACCTGTGACCTATTTCTCGAGGCCATGTTTGGCCTGAATCGCGATTCGGCGTATGTCGGCTCGCATTAGCCGCGCGTTTGCAGTCTTTACGTGGTTTCAAGCGTTGAAATATGTGATATGATGCTGGTCCCATGCATTAGGGTGTCACATGAAGGTCAGGTCAGCTCAATGACCTTTGATGACCTCGGTTCACTTTTTCGAGTTTAACATGTTTCTAGGCTAGTTTTTGGAGCTGATTTCGAATTTAGCAACCACTTGAACATTACAGAGGGTGTAACGAAATTATCCGGACATCTTTCTTCCCGCTGAAATTAAAAAGCAAAACATTCTGGTACTTTTTATTTTGACTGAGCATGTAGCCACCTTTCATAAAAACACAGTGGCGAATGTTTTGGAGCATTTCAGCCAATGTATTCTCCAGCACACTGGCTTTGATGCGGACCAACGCCGTCTAAACCTGTGGCAGCGCCAGCGGTTGGGCGGTGCTTGTGGCGGGCGTCTCTTCAGTCACCTAAGCCGTAATCGCCACGCCATATGTGGAAGGCTTTTGGTGTCAATACATACATACATACATACTGAACAAGAGCCCACAGGTTTTCGATTGAATTGGGATCGCGACTTTTTCCAAGTCATAAGCGTTAGCCCAGAATGATTGAAGGTTCTATCGGCATCACTTCCCGTTCTTTTAGGGACGTTTAAGTAGCGCGCCGTCCCGCATGAAGACAGCGTGGCTTGAATCAGGCATCAGTGCGCGTTCAGAAACCGAGCCCTCAGGCGCTCAACCAGACGGTATAGGAGGGCCTCCTACACCGTCTGGTTGAGCGCCTCCGACTATTCATTGGCCAGTATGTTTCTCCGGTAATACTTGACGTTGATGGCGGTATTTTGTGACACTATGTTCTATTGGAGGATCGCTAGGCAGCTGAACATGCTCCAGTTCTGGATGTTGTCCGGATGTTTGACGGCGGCGAAGGCCAGCAAGTTCGAGCGGCTGGCCGCCCATACATGGCCGATTTGACGGTTCAAAGGATAATACAGCTCGAACGGCTACCCATCCAACCAGACCACCTCATTCACACACCAGACCCTTATCATTCTTCAACCAGTGGACGCGATCTGGCGTGAGGCGAAAGGTGGTGAACTGGTTGTTTTCCCGTCAGTTTCGTTGTCTTTTTCAGTTTGAAGGGCACTAGAACCAAGTTAAAGGGCGGGTAGCGGTAAACCATGATATGGGATCTCTTATTATCTGACTTGGTAAGAATTCGAGTCAATTTGCGGATTGATTGGTGCCGTTTCCTTGCCGCTATCTTGATGACTCTCCTCACCACTTGACAAAGGGCGGCTTTTGTGGTCGCGACTGGGCTGAGTCTGCCACCGAAGTCCCAGATTATTACACCTCAGGCAGATGTGCAATTGGCTGCTGCTGATGTCCAGCTGCTGGCAGACCAGCTTCTGGCTCATGACGCCGTGGATGCCGCCATGCAATTTTACCACGAAAGGAGAGATTGTATCCCTTTCTCGCAGCTGCCTTGGACGAAAACTACCATGTGAACCCGTCTGTGAATCGACTCCTACTCAGAGCAACAGTCACATGACAAGGTCAGGTCACTGCTGAGTTGAAAACCGATAGCAGAGGCACGTATTCATCCAATATTCCCACTTCTAACATCAGAAAGGATTAGGAAACTGTGCAAACAGATATGGCGAAAAAATAGATGTCCGGATAATTTCGTTACACCCTGTACTGAAGTAGTTTTAGTGCCTTCGTAACATGTTACGAAGCTGTCAGAAAAAAAGCGTTCTGCCCCTCCAACTTTTGCTTATTTGTAGAACTTCGTTGCTTAGCAAACCACTATGTTGTTTGCATTGAGGAGCTTTGAAATGTCTGTGTAATTCAAAATGTTAGTTCTGTAATTAAAAGAATTGATTCAGTGTTGCACATAATTTAACTTAACAACCGAGCATTGCAGGTTTGACAGCTTTTTTGCCCCACCAGCACCACCTTCGCTGGAAAAGCTCCACCCTTGCCTATGGGGCAAAACATAAGGGACAAAAACACAAATCAAGACAGATAAAAAACAACACAAAATGAACTCATTGCCTAATGAAGTTCAGTCTGGAGCAAAAACATAGGTAATAGGCATCTATGTCAAATTAGAATGAAATATTAAAATCAACTTGACCAGGTCTTACGGTCTGACCTGATCCTGACTGCCTTACTTCACCTAACCCCAATTCAACCTAACCTACCACAACACCTGCAGAGGTACCTACCTTCCTGGAAAATCACGCCCAGGGAGGTGTCCAACTTATTGGAATATTACCATGATTGCTTGTCAAAATGTGTGTCATCATGCTCTTGTTTGACAAGTGATGTATAATAAATGTGAGTTGTGACATTCAAAAATGACCTGACTGTTGAGTGATTAGAATCTTCAAATAATCAGGGTACAATGCTGTGCATCATAGTGCACACTAGTCATGTTGTTTTTGTGTAGGCCCTCTGCGCATTATTGTGTACACACTAGTCATGTTGTTTTTGTGTAGGCCCTCTGCGCATTATTGTGTACACTGCCATGTGCACCTTAAGGAAAAAAAGTGACTAGTGGTGCATAAAAAGGTTGTGCAATTGTGAAGTTCATGCCCTTGGTCTTGCTGGAGCCAAATGCCTATAGCTATAGCAGTATCAGTGAGGGTTGTAGACATGCTACATACACTGTGAATTGAAGATATTGGCACAAAGTTCACCCATAGGTAATTACTATGCTTAACACCTAATGTAAGAAGCAACATAAATGCCCAGATGATACAGCAACAGCTCTCTGGTCAACATCACACAAATTTATTGACATACTTTGCAGGTACATATTTACATTCATAGCAAATACTTTCGATTTGATTCAATAACTAGGTGCTAGTAAGCTTGTATTTTTGTAGGTACAACAATGAACATATATTTAATCATAAAAAACTTTCTCGTGGCATTAATCACATACCTTTTTACCGAACAAGTACCTATCTACCATGCAATTGCAATGATTCTAAATTTTGTCCGCAATGTACCTATATCTCAACTGACACATTGAAATTGAAATACCCTAACAAAACCTAGAACTGTACAAAAGGAGAATGCAATTCTACAAGAACTATGAAGTTCTGAAGTTATTCTCACATGCTGGAATGTTGAATACTTTTGTCGTCCATTTCCACGTTTCATTGAGCAATCATATAGAACTGTTTTCGCTCTTCAGTCATAAGCTTTTGCACAAATCTTGAATTTTTACACATCATCTTGAACCATGCTCCAGTCTTTCCAACAAGGTACTATGGAACATCAAAGCAATTTTGATTTGTTGCAACAGCTTCAGATCATGATAGGCTTGAAGTTTGTTACACCATTTGCCAGACAAACCTCTACAAAATGTGTATCAATTCCCAAACTAAGCAATTGATTATATCAGTATTTGCGGTTTCCACACAATGTTTCATAATATTATTCGATTTTTATATCAAGAAACCCAAATAATCCACAAATTGTTATTGAAACACTCCCACTTCAAGAGTTCACAGCAATAACAATACAAGTTCAGAAGCAAATAAACATTGCGCCAGATTTCGTATGAAACGCGCCATCATCCTGAAGTTTCTACCACAGACGGTAGTTCAACCGCAGCCGTAGTGCGAAAACCCCTGCCCACATTACCCCACGGCGGAGCTCGGTTGCAATTTGTAAATACGCGCGCGGGCGTCCGCACCGGCTAGCCTCTGCCCGGCCGGCGGCAATCTTGGAAATAGCGCCACCGCTCAATGAGGCGGCGGCGCGGCGCGGCGCCGGTCGATGGCGGCTGGCGGTCGCCGGGCGGATACCGACCCTCCCGTCTGCTCCCCCCCCCCACCCCCCCCCCCCCACCGACTCGGCGGCGGCGGCGGCGGCGGCGGGAGACCGGATACTACGGGTCGGCGGCGCCACGCACGCACGCGGATAGCGTACTACGCGCGTAACGTAATCGACCGTAGCAGGTGCCGGGAAACAGGGGTCGTAGCGCGCCGACTGGAAAATGATCGGGCCCGCTCGCCGGGTCGTTACCGGCCAGGGGAGCCACGGGCGGTGCGTTACAGCGTGCCAGACAGGGATGTTTGCCAAGGACACGAGACGGTGCGCGCGTGGTATTTTCAAGGCAAGGTCGCTGATGTTATAACGGTACATAACATTGGTGGGTTATGCGTGCCTGGTCGTTTTTCCTCGATGTGGGGCAACTAGTAAAAGAGACTTTTGCGTCTAACTTCCATTCCTTTTAGGATATTGATTCGAAAGTACATTATTGGTATGATTGGAGATATGAATGACGAGAAAATAGAAATTAATCAAAGCGATCCTGATATTATTTGATGATGACGGAGGCGATCATCAAACAAACACTTGAATTATTGCTCTCGTTTTTTATGTGCTCACTTGGGTGAAATAAAAGTCAAAACAAATACACGAACATTAATTTGTTGGTAGGTACTTTAAGGAAAAGCGAGATGAATAGCGTTTACTGTGCATTTTTCATATCCTGGTTTTGAGCATGCGGCATGTAATTTGTATTGCTGGCCATAGAGCCATTTATGGGCAATTCTCGAACATCTCGAACATCGGCCGATAGGTTTTCAGCCATCATTTTTTGCCATTGGTCGTTATTAGCACCTCGCTGCCGTCTAAATTCGGGTCGGCCGCGGGTCACCGACTGCTGCCTCTTCGAGCCCACCACCGGCCGCTGACCGTTCAAACCTGTGACTCATCTGACCGCTGACCACCATATAACCACCGACCACTGACCGTTCTCCGTTCTGTTCACAGGCGGCGATTCTGCAGCAGACCTCCGACTTCATCTGTAATCTGGAGCAGGAGAAGGCGCACCTGCTCACCCAGAACTGCCAGCTGAAGCGACTGCTGGGGCCGCAGTCGTCGGGCGGCTCCGAGTCGCCGGACCCGGCGGCCGGCGCTGCGGACAGCCCGCCGCCGCCGCCGGCACCGCCCCAGTCTGCGGTGCCCCGCTCCGCCTCCCAGGAGGAGCTGACGACGGGGGAGTCGGCGCACCGGCCGCCGTCCGCGCCGCAGGAGCCGCAGCTGCTCACACTGCGCATGGAGCTGCAGGAGCTGCGCGCGCAACTGGAGCGCGAGCGACTGCAGCGGCTGGCGGCTGAGGAGCGGCTCCGGCAGACCGAGGAACAACAGCAGCAGCAACAACAGCAGCAGCAGCAGCAACAGCAGCGGGTGCACATGCGGTTCAAGAAGCCGCGGCTGGAGCCGGCGGCGTCACCACAGCTGGTGATGAGCGAACAGCATGTGATGGTGTCGGAAGAAACCGTCCACCCGCCGCCGCCACCGCCGCCAGTGGCCCCTCGCAGGTACGATAAAGGGGGACACTGGGAATTTGGGAGAGGTGCACTTGGCATTGGTGTTTGGTATGTAATGTCAAACTTATAGACAAACTCTTCGTAATATTCCGGCTGGGCAGGTTGCTAAGTCAGATTGGGTTAAGTTCAAGTCCAGCCTTGCTGTTGAGTTAAACGATACCCAGAACTGCCAGCTGAAGCGACTGCGTCTGCGTCGAAGTTAGCGGATTCAATGGATAAAGCTGCTCGAACTGTTGAAAAGACTTCTTGGCTAACTGTCCCGCTATTCTTTTTTCATATGTTGCGTTAGGTAAGTGTTCACGCTCCGTGTAGCACGACTATCACTGACTTTTTTGTCTATCTCCCTCAGGCCAATGTACTTGAGCTCGACAACATCGCGTCAGAACCTGGACACGATCGTGGAGGCGATCCGTCACCTGGAGGGCGACCATCTGTTCGGTGACTGCGCGGAGCCGAGGCCGGCGCGAATCGAGCCGGTCCACACCCGCCTGGAGCCCCAGCTGCCCGCCCGCGTGGAGCCCATCCAGACTCGGCTCGAACCCATCCAGACCAGGCTAGACCCGATCCAGACCCGACTCGAGCCGATCCAGACTCGCCTGGAGCCGCTGCAGCTGCACGTGGAGTCGCTCCCAAGCCACCTGGAGTCCGCTCACCCGCGGCTGGAGCCGCTTCACCTGGAGCTCCAGCAGCCCTGTCTGGAGCTGGAGCCGCAGGAGGCGCCGCTGGAGCTGACCACCCACGCGCGCAGCTCAGCCTCCGAGCAGTACCGGCCGGCAGTGATCATATCGCAGCACCCGCCGCCACCGCGCCACTAACCCAGCGGCGAGCGGGACGGGACGGAGAGAGAGAGCGACAGTCTGCATTTACCGCAGTCCAGATACACGAGCTTGGAGACTGGACGGCGGCCGGGCCGGACTACTCAGGTGGTTGGATGAGAGGACGCGAGACGCCGGTGACGGTGACGATTCGGTGCGGTGTAGTGTGAACCCGAGTGAATGTGACTGACTTGTGTGGAGAGTGCACTACGCGTATGCGCTTTGTATGCCATGTATAGGGCTGATTCTATATTCTCTCGGTCGGACGGATTTGTTACTTTGTCGGCGCGGTCTGGCGGCCGGCCGGCCGATACCGTTTTCTGCTGGACAATATGTGATGTTACATGTGTTTGAATATGTTCAGTGACTAGGACCTCGCATTATTCTAGCTGCCGTGAGCGCGCATGATTCTTGTAATACAGTATTTGTTCACATGGGCAAAAGGTTATTTTTTGCTGGCACTTGACGCAGGAAGCTCTAAGTTCAAAGGTTGGTTGACTATTCACGTTTGTTGAGTGCGCTGAAGGCAACCGATCTGTTAAAGCGGACAGTTGCAGGTTCAAAATTGCAATGATCCACCGGTTCGCTTTCCATTCGTTACATATTTGTGTTTTGGAAAAGATGAAATTAAAAAATCGCTCAAAATGACAAGTATGAAAAATACTGACATTCTTTCAGCGGCTTGAATACACAGGCACACAGTATCACGGCGCCAATAACGACACTCAACAGTTGCTACTCGAGAGCACCCACTGATCACAGCACTACACGGTCACCAGTCGCGTTGGACCGAGTTCGAGTTCTTCCTGAGTTCGCACACATCTCGCCACTCGCTGTTCTCAGTCGATGATTAGTCCTCACTCCTCGGTACTAACCGAGAGGCATCACTGGGCTGACGAATCTCACCCGGCACTCATCAATCGTAATACGCGAGTGGCACTTGGCACAATTCACAACTGGCACGGCTGGCAGAATTCGCGAATGGCACTTCTCCAGACATCCATCACTCAATGCCATACTACTTGTGTGAGATCACTCCTCCAGCATCACAATCACTCCATCCGCAGTGGGATGGACCGTCCCACACACTTCATCCCCGGGTTGGACCGTTCGCGGAGTCTGCAGGGCAGCTGCCATCTGCCGCCCGCACTCTGGCCTCGCAGCACCCACTGCACTGTCATCTACCGGCCGAAACCAGTACACAAGTCCGTGCAGTTCACCGGTAGATGTCACTGGTATCGAGAACCGCGGCGGGTCCATGGTGCCCGAGGTCAGGTCAAGGCAGCCGATGACGTGGATGTCGCTGAGGTCTGAGGAGACGGACCGCTGACGATACGGAAAATCCTGCTGTTGGGTTACCTGAAAATGACACAAAACAGGGTCAGGTGAAGAGTCGAAGCATTTCAGGTCATGACAGGTGAAGTCGACCCAGGTCAGGTCATGTCAGCAATCATTCATTCGATACAAAATATTTAGTTTTTACGATTGCCAATTTCCGTGTAGCTAGAGTACCGAGCCTGATATTTTCGTAAAGTTAGTTCACTAGAAAGTAGAAACGAACGCTAGTAATCGCTCAAGCCAGGAACAAGCGAAAATCGTTTTATTTTTCTGCACCCGCCGAAGCCGACAGACTACAATACACAACGGACGCACGTTACCGATATCTCCAACACCACAGGCACATTACTAAACCTACACCCCCGGCGTGCCCCACACAAACACTTCTCTGCTCTGCCCGTCCTCACCGCGAACACGTTGATGGCGCTGCAGTCGAGGCTCTCCGTGTTCTCCGGCTGGACTGCCGACATGTTGAGCAGCAGACGACTGGAGACGGCGACTGCCAGGAGTTGGAGACGGGACGGCCACAGCAGACCGCCCGGCCGCAGCGACACGCTGTAAGATAGACGGACATCGGCATTACGAGTTAGTTTACAAGTCTGTCTAAATGGAAGGACGGTCCTGGCTACGATGATTGGGGTACACTCGGGGGCAGATTGATGTTCCACCACTCCCTACCTATCAGGCTCCCATGGCTCAGCACTGGCTGCTGCCAGTGGCAGCACTGGCAGCACTGGCACTGGCAGGCAGTGCTGACCAGTGCTGAGGGCAGGCAACACTGGCAGCAGCCAATGCTGAGCCATGGGAGCCCGATGGGTAGGGAGTGGTAGAACATCAATCTGCCCCCGAGTGTACCTACTATCTGCAGGTTTACGATTTTCCACCGATTTGATGATGTTAGAGGGGACGATTTGAAATGTTTGGTAACGGAAATACATTTTACTTTAACTACCAGGCCTGTAGCACTTGGGTTTAACATTGTAAGAAATGAGTTCGCAATTTGAAAAAAAAAATCAATAGTAAGAAATTAAGGTGAATGCACTCTATGCACTCTGTGTCACATTACACACAGAATCGACATGTGTAATTGACGATTTAACGATCAACATCGATAAGTTTCTCTAGCATAACTGATAAATGATCCACAAACGTTCTTATCAATGCCCATCCAGTCCACGGTCAACTCCCTCATACCGCACCAGTATTGCCCAATGCCCATTCATACACTCACCTCTGTACCATCCTCAGCACAGCCGGGTCGAGCCGGCCAGACGGCAGCACGGGGGCCGACAGCACACAGTCCCAGCTCCCGTCCGTCCGCCGATCCTTCCCATCTGACGGACCCCGGGCGACTGACCCCGACCTCTGCTCCCCCGCCAGGCTCTGACACTGCCTGACACTCTCTGAAGTTACCTCGGCACTCTCACTGTCCATACGGCTCACATTGACCCCACTCAGATCGATAAGTCGAGCGAGAGGTATAGGACACAGGTCCAGCAGGTGGGGATGTGGGGAAGACGGCGGTCGGGCAGCCATCCAGCGGTGTAGATAAGATTTTATGGTGTTCAGATGGTGAGAGTTCCCGACGAAGGCTAGTGCTTCCGAGGTGACCTCTTCGGGGTCGGTAGAGGTTGTCACATCATCACCAGCTAGATGGACGTCATCGGCGGCTTCAGAAGGTTTAGAAACATCAGAAGCTGTGGCACTGGCAGGGGTCTGGACCTGGTGCATTTGCGCAGCTTCAGTGTCCATTTTAGGCTGATTTGATTCAGGTGCATGATTTTCGTCCATTTCTCCAGTTCCATTCCCCAACGTGGCTCCCTCCGTTGACGAGTCTTCTAGTCGCAGCTCCAGATGACCCTTACAAACGCTCCTGATTGCTAGGTTCTGTTCAGCACACACCACGCGACCGGTCGGTACCGCGTACACTGCCTGTTCCCAGCACGTTTCCTCACCGGGCGCACTGCTCAACACCTCTCCCTCACCGAGCTGAAGCTCAAACCACGTGACCAGCGCATCCAGCCGTCCGTCGGCCGTACACTGCACCACGTGACGTCCCTCCACACCACTCAGACCGCGCTCTATATCATCCGGGTCGTTAAAATCCACTGAGTACACCTGCACTGGCTCGGAGAGCAGTCTGTATCCCCCGGGCGCGTCCTCCAGCCGTTCCGACCAGTACGGTTCCGTCAGCCGGCGCCGCAGCTGCTCGCCGCTGGGTAGATGGGCACTGAGCTGTGAGCGGACCTCTGCACTCTCCACGGCGGCGGCCCAGACGGCGGCAGAGGCCGGCAGCACGCATCCCCGCCCCGGGGGTAGCAGCAGGTGGCGCCAGGCGTGCTGTAGTGTGGAGAGGATGTGTTCGCCCAGCAGACCAGCGTCGAACGTCTCGGTCACCAGAAGAGACGCCCTGTCGACAGATAACAAGCAAAGACTTAGAGGTAGGATATGAGATAGGCACTGGTAGGCGGTAGCATGGCAGGTTTGTGTGATTGACGCCGTTCAAACCGTTTAAAGTATAACCGAAAGCATTCTGATTGACGTAATCACAGCGCACATCAAACAATATTCACCAAACGATAGTTACATGCAAATCACCTTATCCTGAGCCGGTAAGGAAGATGTCATATGCTATTATAACATGCCAAGATCGAGATTTAAGTGTGCTTCACTAACCTTACACCAATAATTCACTAACCTCTCACTCTACCAGTGAACAATGCATTGAGCATTTAGACAATCCTGCGCCAACCGTTTCCACCGCTCCCTCCATTCATTTTCATTCATTCTATCCACCTGCACGGGAGGTCCTTCCCGACGGTGAGCTCGTGGGACCACTTGTTGACGAGCTGGACACGATTTTCCATTCCGTTATCAGCCAGGGTCGCGGCTGCCACCTGACACATGGCCTCGGAGCTCTCACAGGCGACCACAGGAGACGCACCCGCCTGCGCTGCCAGCATGCTGAAAACAAACGCGATGAGGGTAAGCTTGAGAACTTAGGTGGATTGTGGATAAGCGCGTTCGCTATCTCGTTGCAGCATTGGAATGATCGCAGAATGTCTTGCTATAACACTGATAATGCAGAATGTCTTCCTACATTCATTATTGATTCAATAAAAAGCATCACAAATAAGTGACAACGCAAACTCTAACTAAGATTCGAACTTTCAAAGGACAGGTGCACATTTTTTAAGAGTTTCACGCACAATCACGCACAAATCGACCTTAAAAAACGCCTAACGTCATAACAGCCCCTCTCCGTGACAACACGGCCCCTCACCTGAGTAGCCCGGTGCCGGCGCCTAAATCCAGCACCAGCTCCCCCTCGGCCAGGCGCCGGGACGCCGCACGCACCGCGCGCCCATACGCAGCATTCCTGCGAGCGTCGTTGAGCATAGTGAAGTGCCAGCGGTCCACCAGCTGAGAGTTGGCACGCTCCAGGCCGTCTCGGGCGGCCACCAGACTGCCGTCGGCCCGCGCCGCGCGCAGGAACTGAGCAGCCGCTTGGAGCACGTGGCCATGCCTGGAAACAGGACGGGCGGGGCTCGGAGTTTCGGCCTGGTGCACCAGGTGGCGGGAGCTGCAGTGTAGGATGTTTTTCAGAGCTTTTGAGGGCGATGTCACGCTACAGAGCCACATAGGGCAGGGTTACGTCCTCCACAGCTACTCTGATGTCCTTCATCCAGTCCATTGTTTCACAAGACGAGTGCATGTTATCCATGAATTGAGAAACGCGTGCTTCCACGCTAAGCGGAGACGTCGCCATCAGAAATTTGGAGCTTGATTTCTTACTGGAGCCTCCTGATTCGTCTCTGGCGCGATCAGTGCTTCTTTCGCGTACTTCATCACAATTGGTGGCATCATTAACGCAGGTCGTGACTGCGGGTGTGCCGACAACCGGACACTGCTGCTCTGTCAAGGTGAGGCTCTCCAGACCTGAGACGAGGTCCGTTTTGTCGTTCTGAGCTGGGCAGCTCACCACCGAATCAGCGCACTCTGCACTCTGTGATCCAGGCTTTTCATCACCAGCACCATCTACGAGATGTCGCGGCACGCTGAACGACAGCAGCGGCAGCCAGCGGCCGTCCACGTTTACCGAGACGTTATAGACCCTCAGCGGCACCGCTGTCAGGCCCGCACCACCCGTCTGCGACCCTCTATCAGTCGGAGGTACCCAATACACCACGGGGTACCCGAGCAGGGCCCCAGCCGCTGCTGGAAGGCTCCACTCTGGGCCGGTTTCCAACTCTAGGATTACTGTATCCTCCTTAGCGCTCCCAAATATCAGCTGTCTGAGTAAAGACTCTGTCTGAGCGCAAAAAGCACTGCGGACCTCGTCACGTCTTGCTAGAGAGGGTCGGCTATCGCTCATAGCCGCGCCGTTTCCGGAGAACGATGCTATGTTTACGAGTACCACGTCATCCGCCGCCCGTGCTAAGTGCCATTTCAGTGTCCCCAGGTGACAGGTAAGTGCATCTCCTGCCAGCGATAGAGTGGCCAGCGAGTCGCCGATCAGTCCACGCTGGCGACACTCGTCCACCAAACGCGCCGCCTCCGGAGGGCCGATGGCACAGCAGTCCCAGAGGCAGCTGGGCCGTACACCCCCGGCCACCGCCAGCAGCTGGGCGCGGATGTGAGCGGTGTGGCGGCGGCCGCGCCGTCCGAGCGCCGCGTCCACCGCCGACAGCCACTGGTCCATAGTCACCTGCAGACCGCGGGGAGGAGCCGCGACAGTGTCCACAGAACAGGCTGGAGAGAGGGATGGGTGGTGCTGGTTTGTGGAGTAATTGTGTATGAGTCACAGTTATCAGCTACAGTGAGACAGAAAAGAAACTCAGTCACAAGAGAAACTACAAAGAACAAAACATGCTGAACAATGCAATAATAAATATAATGTCACTGAAACAGTAGCAAAAGTAATCATGTTAATGTTAAACATATCACAGCATTTTAAAAGCCAAAAGAGAAAAAGTTACACAAATGTTGCCTGGTGTTTAACTTAACATATTATTCTATATTAAAACAGCAGCCACGAAAAATGCTCACCTGTATAAGAAATCACCTAGAGAACTGATGATTATTGCACTCTCAGGATATACTTCAAGAACAGACTCATATATTTTCAACAGGTCCAGATGTCTCCCTGCATCTTCCAAAGATTGAATAGCTTTTCCTGAAACAATCATGTATATTAAGCCAAAACATTTAAGCACTAGGTATTAATCAACACACAGCCCTGACTATAACTATAAGTTCAACTCACCATTTAGATAAATTCTGGGTAATATTTAGCAGCAGTAGATTGATTTCAGTTAACAAGAAAGCAAACACTATCGAGCTATTAATCAAATAATGAACCTGGTATCATTAATCAGCTAGAAAAACCAAAAAAAAAATATCTGGTGAATTTAAAACAATGTCCACAGTATGGCAATGGTCACAATGTTTTTTTTTTCTTAAAAAAAAAACATGGACTTGATTCACAGGCAATGCAAATGCTTAATTGCTTCTTACCAAGGCAGGAAGCAACTGTGTGATGAAGTTCATCAGATTTTTCTGGAAGAAGCTTCGCCAATAAAAGTAGATGGCCCAATGCCAAACCAAAATTATTGCTACTGATACATTTTATTGCCAACTTGTGATGTTTTTCAGCAGTGTTTTGATGATCCTTCCTTGACTGATTCATTCCATTAGCAGTTATCAAAATACTATTTCATAAATTGGATCACTAAGAGGCATCAATGATCTTGAAACATTCAATGAAGCATTCTTTTCTGGAACCTAGAAAAAAGAAAGGATGGTTAACACAAAAAGTTGGAAGCAATCATTATTGCTGAAATGCTGAATGCATAAAACAGGTAACATACTTGATGATTCTGAAAAGCTGAAATAAATTAAACATTCAATTAAATGTGTTCAGGCTATATAAAAAAAAATTGATTGAAATTTCTTAATGTTTAACTAACAAAGTACATATTCAAGTACATTCCCATTTTGAGCATCCATCCAAATCCTCGATACCAGACCATAAATGTCAGCATAGTTAAGTGTTAACTGTTGAAAATTTGTACTTCATGCATGCAATGGGAGTTAGATAAATTGCAGTCAATGTTTTAATCATTCAGTTTGAGTCATTATTAGACAAATTTGTACTTTCTGGTCCCTCGAGTCGAAAGCCAAGGGAACGCTAGTTTGAGTCATGAAAGTAGCTGGCAAAAACAGCTTTTCTCAGCTGATGGAACTGGAAAGTGGAAAAAATGGAAGCCTCTTGGCTCTTTTACTACCAAAAGGCAAAGCGATGATTAAAGCGATAGTAATTGAAAATGGATGAAAACTAGTGTGAAAGCATCTTACTTGTCTTGGGCTTTACCCTTTATTCAAGGCCCTATATACCAGGTAGGGTCGTCCGGCGATTCTACCTGATCGTGACGTCAGCTCGTGACGTCATCTGGGGGCAAGTCTTGAAGTCCCGTTTAAGTCCTATGCAAATGGGCGATTTTTGAAGCGCTGTAGAACAAATTCTGCTTAAGCTAGCACAAAACTAAGTGCATCATCGGAAAGCCGAGACATTTTTCTTCGAATTATCTGAGAAACGTTTTTCACTAAACCCATTAGTTTTTTTTCCAAAAATGCGTAAAAAGCCCCCATGCCTCTGCAACCTCCCTTCCGCCGGCCGCCACGCCGCCGCGGTAGTGTAGTGGTTAGGATGCTTGCGCCGTAATCCAAAGATCGTGCGTTCGAATCTAGGCGCGGGTCGTACTTAAATCGAAATTGCAAGCAGAATATGTGTTTTTTCTTGATAAATCACTTATATTACAGCTAACCGTTCATAAAACTATCGACAACAATTGACTGAAACCCAAAATATAGAATACATTCTAATAAAACAAATTCAAATATGGCGGCCGTTGCGCCAGGCTCCGCCCCCGACTCCGCCCCTTCGTGTGACGTCATCTGTGCACTTGGACACACAGGGAGATAGGGGACGACATGGGCCTGCCTTTATTCACAACTCACAAGCTTTACTGCTATGCATTTGACGACGGATCACGGGCACAGCAGATGGTTTTGTGATCAAAGTTCTTCAACGCGAGCAGTAAAAGCAAAAACATTACGTTTTAATTGGCTGTACTTTCAAAAATTACGCTAGCACTAGCATAACAGATATTTATTGAATGAAATTTGAATGAAACAGCTGCGCCGTATATGGATTCACAGCAGATCATCTCTAAAACACAGCTAAAATTTAGTCAGTAAACAGCTTTCATAAAGCAAACCACGTCCATCATGCTGCATTCGTGGTGGTTTAGGCTAGTTACAGCAAGAAATTGCCGCCACTAGCTACAACCCTACATTTTGTGCCCAACTCGCAAATATGATATTTGTATTCTTGCAAATTTATCGTTTTTCAGGCGAACAGAGTCGGAGGTCTATACTGCATGCTCATTCTATCGACCTCAAGAGCCTAGCTCGGCTTTACTCAGCAGATCACTTTGTCGCTCACGGTCACTTGACACGCTGCCAGACTCGACTAACCCCATGATGCAGCACCTTACATTCCTCCGGTATTTATATACACTGTGCTTCCGGGGACCAAGGCCCGCATGGCGGCTTCAGTCACTGGGCCCATTTGAATCAAGCATTTGAGTAAAGCCAGCAAGCTCTATTTGTAAGGAAAAAAACCGTATCGAGCCCATTCACCAACACAATATGAGAACCCCTAGCAACTACGCGAACATGATGAAAAGTTTAAAAACGGGTGTCATTTTTGCTTACTATCAAGCCAAAATCTGCAAAGAAACAGGCTTACTCATCAAATGATGCTGGCATATGTATGGCATGACAATTTACCGCGCTGTTATCATTTCACTCACTCTGTTCATTTCACTCACTTCACTCTGTTCCCTGAAATGCTTGCGATGATTAAGCACTAAAATCACTGATGCTGATAAAATATGTGACACTACAAAGCACAGCACACAACACGGACATACCATCCCAAAGTCTTAACACCTTGGGTCGGGTAAACATGACACACTTAAAACCAGGGATGCGGAGCCGGAGCCGGAGCTGGAGCCGGAGCCGCCGGAGCCGGCATATTTTGCCCGGAGCCGGAGCCGGAGCCGGAGTCGTGAAACAATATAGCCCGGAGCCGGAGCCGGAGCCGGAGCCGTCAAAAAAGGGGGCGACTCCGGCTCCTTTTCTTAACCCGCGAGTTGCTGGGGGGGGTGTTAAACGCCCCCACTTTTTTCGCCGGGCCATAGCATAAAAACGGCGCGCCACAGGCGCGCCAAATTTTGGGTACCTGTAGGGAATTGATTGAAGTTTATTGTGACGAAGTTTCAAAAAAATCGGTCGGAAAAATTTTGAGATATCGAGGTTTTAGTGACGTCATGATTTCTGAGTTTTCGACCAAAAACGGCATATGTTCAAAAAATCATATAAAATCACAGAATAGACATACAGACATGCCGTAAACACCATTAGACTGCCAATACCATGAACAATCAAATGGCTATCTTCGATTATTGATTATCGTTCCGCATTTCCCAAATTCTTGAACTGAAACTTGGCAATTTCTCGTGACTACTTGACGACCATGATACATGCATTTCTTAAATTGAACTTTTTTAGCCAAACACGTACACATATGATAAAATGAATGTCACCATCGTGTTCTACGCCCCGAATTACCCATAAAACATGTGTCACGGGCTGTGAATATCAGTTTTGATTTTCGGGGATATGTGCCTACCCGGTTGACCTGACCTTGACCCTGACCTATGCTTGACTGACCCCTACATGGAGCTGACACTCTTGTAGGCCTTATATGATGGATTGTGCACCGTTTTGACAGAGTTTATGACAAGAGGCGCCCATTGCGAAGTCCTGAAGTCCATGCTACTGAAAGCCCGATTTCAGGTGTTTGACCTGACCTTGACCCGACCTGTGACCTCAAAATTCAACTTTAAAGTACTCATCTGAAGCGTCTCGTCGCGTTCTTTCGTTTGCCGCCTCGTGCGTTTCGCTGCGCCTATTGGTTCTCGAGTTATCGGCTGGGGGCGTTTAACGCCCCCCCCCCCCCCAGCAAACGGTGGGTGGCGAAATACCCCAGCAACTGCCGGGTTAAGAGGAAACAATTATTTACCTAGTTCGGTTTGACAGTACAAGGCGTAAAACAATGTGGTATTCAAACTAGCCTTGTTATACAAATACAGAAGCAACGTGTACCAATCCCATCGCCTTTTTTCTTCCACCCGTATTTAATTGATCGCATAGGGGATGTACTGCGTAGAAGCCGGAGCCGGAGCCGCCGGAGCCGGAGCCGCCGGAGCCGGATCATTTTACTCGGAGCCGGAGCCGGAGCCGGAGCCGCCATGACATTTCACCCGGAGCCGGAGCCGGAGCCGGAGCCGATTTTTTTCTCCGGAGCCGGAGCCGGAGCCGGAGCCGTCTGAAATTTCCACGGCTCCGCATCCCTGCTTAAAACAATTGAGTTCTTTAAAAATGTTTATTCATTCCGAAAATTGCAGGGGAAAAGGGATGGGCAAGACACACGATATTGAATCTCATCGGACGATCTCAGCTTTCACAAAAAAACGTATTCGACTGAAATAATACGCCAGCTACCCAACAAAACATCTCAAAATATGATCCTAATACATCAACGCGATGAGATGAACTTTTTAACACATGAATTCCTCGCCTCTCCAACCAGATCTCCAGAAATTCTGAACAATTACTTCATCAAAAAGCGCATCCAAAATCGTATAAAATGGGGGAACTTGGGCGGCGGGGCGCTTGTACATAGTTTGTATGCGTCTAACGACGGGGAATACCTACGTGAACAATCGTGGACTTCGGCTTACTTATGGTATACACACACTTACTCATACAGGTCAAAAATACCTTCCCGAAACGAGTCCTCGGGCGACACTCCAGCAATGGCGAGTGATGGGGGGAATGGGCCCGTCCAACGGCGCATCTCTGTTCAACGATACCGGCAGCAGCCATAGCTGTACACGATACCATCCGCTTAACGCCCATCGGTCTTCCAGCGCGGTGTGGGACCGTCCCGCACGGTCAAGCTACCCAGGCAGCAGGGGTGAGTCGTCACCCGGGGAGGACGCGCGATGATTTGAACTGGTCCGGGCCAGGTAGCGGCAGGCAGGCAGTCGGCTGGCTGGCTAGGTCTGAGTGGTCTGCTCACCGGCAGCGGCTCCGGCGGCGGCCTGTCGCAGGCCGTCCACCTTCTCAGCAGCGCGGCGCACCGCGTCACGGGCCGCCTTCTGCAGCTCCACGAAACTCGGCGCCTCGTTGTAGTGCTGTATGGAGAGAAGGGAGAACGTGTCAGATGCTGGGGCGTAGGGAAAGTGCGTAGAGCACATCCCGGATATAGCTAAGCTTATCAACGACAATAGGCATCATAAGAAGAATGTAGCAGCCAAGACGGCTCTACACAAACGAGGATGGCATGGAATCGAGGTAAAATCAGCAAACTTTCGACTCAAAGCGTCTCAACGTCAAATGACAAAGGCAAACGATCGTTGGTAACGGAAATATTTATCCTAATGAGCATCATTAGAGCACTTATATATAGTATCCAAGCCGGCCACGGAAACCAATAACTGAAAACGAGGAACAAAATTCAATAAAAAAACTAAGTGAAAATCAGATACCAAAAACTCAATAGCACATACGTCTAAACCATGCCACATTCGCTAGATCCTATTTTCGTTGTAGGATAGGAAACATCACGTGGTTACATAGGCCACAAATCTCGAACCCCACTTCGTCACCGACCTGGTAGCAGTAGTATGCAGCGGCGATCAGGATTAGAAGCACGCTCAGTTTGACCAGGGCGCGCAGCCAGCCACCGGAGCCGGGGGCTTCCTTCCGCGGCAGTGCCGGCGCAGCTCGGCTGTCGGTCAGGTCCGCGCTGCGAAAGAGTCAGAGGTTATCATCCACTGCTGATTTATCCCGAAAGGGTATGGACGGAATTGGAGAAAACAGAATGTCCTAAGCACATGTCCTTCAGACTAAACTTGTCCACAATCCAGACATTTAGAGCGTGGAAGTGAATTCACGCTAGATACCAATCATAAGCTGTGCTGTGAATGCCAGACGAGCAGATAACCGAGAATACTTGTTCCATTGTGCAAACGACTACCCAGTGAGCGGTTGGGCTGCGTATGGAGCGGACTTACGATTCGTAGAGTACGTAAAATTGACTCGATTAGACAAATACTAGGGTGACCCGCGTGCTCCGCAACGCGAACAGGGGTATTTTCGATCGGTGGGTGTTCGGTTGTTCTTGTGTCGGTTGGGTTATCTATCCATTTCGGTCGATTGCTTTTTGACGGCTAAACGTTTTGGTTTGTGGAAAAAATATCCACCGCATCGAGGTGCCCGTGTCTGATAAGCATGCTTTCCACTTCAGAATCTGTCAAATGTGCTTTATAATTTAGGCGCGTAGTTTTATGACAAATTAAAGGCGTAGATAATTTTCACTAAAAATCGTTTTGCAGAGGTTTGAAACATTTATATTTTTAAGAATACAGGGTGTCCCATAAGTTCGTTCTCACCTTATATTTGCATGTAAAACAGAGTACATTGCGTTTTGATATGTTTATAACCCCTCAATGTGCTCCCCATTTCATAGGCAAACACATGAATACATGCTGCGACATGCCAACCGGCATGTTTGGCAGCATAGCAGGCTTGAAGTTAGCCCAGACTGACTTGGCATGCGCCGTGAGCTCCTCAATGCTGAAACACCGCTTCGCTGCGACGAGCCTCGATTTCTATATTCCCATAACATTTTTATGAAATTTGGATCCGATGAGTTGGCTGGGATGTGATCTTACCACACACGCCTATCACAGTCTCCTGGCACTGCTTCTAAGCTTTGCTTGACCTGTGCACTGATGCACTGTCTTGCTTGAAGATGAACCTACGACCTCCCTGATGCCATTTTCTCCTAAAAAGATGTGGTCATACTTGCGGTTCGAGTTAAGCTAGAAAGCTGAAACTCCTACTAGATCTTCTTGGAGAAGCATTCTGCGTCCCAAGACTGTTTCTGGAGTATCAATCGCATTGTGCATCAGTGTCTGGACGCATATTACCCCACATTACCGTGA